ATCAATGAGATATGTGGCAGCAAGGAAGAACAAATATTGCCGCGTGGTTAATTGCTAAGAAGTCGACGGTGGGATATTAATCTTCGGAGTCCGCTCGTGCCGTTGCTTTAGTCAGCTCTTACACTCGAATGTTCTTTTAGCTGTGCTGCTACAAGACACTTGCAGACAACGTTGCAGAAATCGCGCATCGCTTTTCATATAAAAACTTAAAATTCGAAAATATTAAAGTGTTTTTAAGATTTTTACAAAATAATAAACTACATTCTTTCTTCTTTTTATGTATAATTTTTTCATAATTTTTTGGCATTATTATAATATTTTAAATATATAGGAGTTTTATAAGCCTGTAAATAATACGATTTATACAGGTCAAGGAATATGTAAAAATCAACAAAAAGTCAAAATGACTTTATTTTGATTCGTAACGTCAATAAACAGTCAAATTTTATAAAAAATTATCATTTTGACTTTCATAATGTCAAAATAAAGTCATTTCCATTTTCTTTTGACTTAGCGCGTTTCTTGAGAGATTGCCAAAATCGCATTTCCATTAAAATCATTTACAGGCTTATTGAAATTTTTCATTTAAAACGTTATAATAATGCAAAAATGTTTAAAAACTGTGTAAGAAAGAAAAGGTTATAGATTAAAAAAATATTTTTCATAATTTTTGAAGTACATGGTTTTAGTATTTCAAAAATAAGAATTTCAGGAAGTAATTTTGAGGAGTTTCTATATGAAACAAAAATACTTTGCAAGTTTACAATATATATAAATAATTTTACATAATTATAAATGGAGTAAAAATGTAAGAAATGTAAGACTGTTAGGCAACGTGCGATTTAGGAGAATACATCGTGATGCAATTTAGGAACATTTTGTAACACTTTATTTATTTAACTTACAAATAATAATGTAAACAAATTTTTAATTTTATTAATATGTTATTTATTCTAATTCTAATATAATATTTTATTTTATATTTAATGTTAATAGTTGCACTCAATAAAGTTGTTGTTATTATTATTATAAAAAAATATAAAAACAATAAATTATTAAAACATAACTATTTAAGTTACATTTTCTACAATTCTGCTATAAAATATAAAAACAGCAACGATATCATGATTTTTTTATTTATGTAAATAACAATTATATTTCTACTATGCTTTATCACACGAGTATAACGCAGTAGCGTTGTAATACCATATATAGTTCTCATCAAATAATCCGTAAGAAGATTTATAAATACAATAATTAAATTTCTAGGTGAGGTAGTGCAATTTAGGAGTTGCGTCGGTTTAATTTCGGCAACCTTATCTTCTAAGAATGTTCTCTTCTCTTATTTATTTGACGGATATTTGCACCGAATTGTATAGAGTAATATCATTCAGTTTTATGTCTCCATTTAGTTGCGCTTTTTCTTTAATATACATTACCTTAGTCCTTGGCTTATTTTTTCTCGGATTTTTCGGCCAAAATATATCCTATGTTGACTTTTTTCCGTTTTCGCACAATTTGCTATCCGCATTTAATTGTATTAATCCACACGTTCAGTTTGTTTTCGTAAACTTAATTGAATTCTCTCGTGAGAGAAATATATTTTTGCGCTCAACGAGAGAAGGAGATATTACAGCTGTTTGTTTCCTTTAATACTCGCAAAAATTGTTTTTATAACGTTAGTTCGAGAAAATAAATAAAAACTAAATAAATTCTTAATTTATTTTTATTTAGTGCGGAAAATACTCATTTCTCGGAACGTCATATGCAGTATTCTCTAAATTGCTAGACAGGGATGTCCGTCCGTATTGTAAGGTGTGGACCGCGGAAAATAAGACCGATGACGGCGACGCCTGCACGAGACGCGGAAATTTAAAATATCCGCAATGAACTTGCGGTGAGACAATATACGGAAGGGCAGCAAAAATAAAACAGTACACAAGATAAGTCCTCAGAAAATATTAGCGTTGGTAGAAACGCAGCAATATTTTCTTGTGTTTTGCAAGTCGAGACCACTTACGTGACGTGCGCGTAAACGTATTAGACGAATAAAGAAAAAAATAGGAAAAAAAGGAGAAAGGAGAATAACGGGAGCGATTCTCTGAAAACAAAGTGACTTACTTTGTTAAACGTAATCGATCACGTGGCAACGTGACGTCTTTTGTGCGAGATGTCGCAATAACTCATGGTATAAGAATATATACCCAGACAACACAGAATATTTATAATAAATATTTATTATTATTTTTTTTTTGAATTATATAAATTTGTTATATAAATGTTTTATGCATATCTTATACAAAGCTTTATTAGAAATATTATTAAAATATTGACTAAATATTTTAAGTAATATATGAATAAATATTTTAGTAAGAATTTTATATTTGGATTATAATGTCTTTTTTATTAAGTATTTCTATAGTATATTTAGCCATTTATTACAACATTTACAATAAATATTTCATAATATTTATAAGTGTTTATGATCTGTGTAATTTAAGACCACAAAATGTTTACTAAATTCAAATAAGTTTTATAAATATTTACAAATATTTTTTAAGTATTTTATAAATATTGTGTTTGAGAGAAGATATTCCATTGCATGTCTTAATGGCAGACTAATAAAACAACAAATCAAATACTTTTTCCAAAGTTAGCATTAAATTAAGATACAGTGTTGATAAAAATATATAAACAAATATACAAATAAAATGAAATTCTATCTGCTGTAGCTAAATAAAAATTCAAAAAACTTTGTGTCCATATAATGTCCGCACTGTAAAATCACTCGAAACACTCTTCTAATGCACCTACAATCTAAAACATATGGTAGTAGCCGGTAGTAGTCATGTTACTTTTTTCTCTCTTTTCATTCTTTTTTTAAATTCAATTTGGGACAATATTTTGATTGGCCTTAGAACAATTGCCATGTTGGACGACAGCACATCCTCGGAAATGGGATACTTTATTTCTTATTATACCGTACAAAACCTGCCATCGCTTAACTTGTCACCTACCTCTATTCTCCTCTCGTTGACATGATCTGCTCCGACCGTTCTCGTACTTTCCTCTACAACTCGATTTCCGCAAGATTCACCTGTCACCGGAAATCGAGCTTGGATCAAGTTAGTCTCTTTCATGACATCTTCTTCCTTCTTCTTTCTTGTTCCTTCTCAAATTCTTTTTCAGCAAAATAACGCGACATTCTATAACTTAAATTACGTTGGTAAAAACTTTTTATGTTATTCGAGTTGCACGCAAAAATACTATTGCATATTTATACCAATTCCTTCAGAGTTGCAGTCTTAAGTTCACGTAATCGACCCAGGCGAAATATAGATGCATTGCGCAAGCAGACGATTTTCTGATGGAGACAAGTGCAATCTCGACTGCTTTGATATTGTAATTTAGAGAGCTTGGAATATTTTATACCGTACACACAAATAGATTCATAATATCGTAGACAAAAGAGCAAAATATGTAGAAAGAAAGAGAGTGAAAGACGAAGGATGGTGCAGTTGCGTAGTGTATAATAAACGACAAAGCATTCTGAGAGAATCACTTTATATGCGTATATATATTTATCTGTTATATATAATAAATATATTATTACTTCGCAATGAATGTATTAGCACGCATCGCATCAGCAATATCTTACATTTATCCGTTCCATGAGTGATACTTAACACATCCATAACGAGCTGCGAATACATCCGACGACGTAAGACGTAGAGACGTTGGAAACAATGCGATCTCTTAGGACAGGGACCTTTAGTCCGGCACGTACGTTGACGAGACACTTGGGAAATAGTCGGATAATCTTGCGATCGATGGCGATTACGAGGATCGGAACCGAATGTGCCGTCTCGATACACCGGGACAGATAATGCAGAGCGTACATTTTAGTTAGCTGTTTAGTATTTCATTTTAAGGTTTATTTATTGAAACAGCTACAGTGCAACATTTATTTGTATCTTTGTCCTTTTCGATAAACAAAGCTGTCCCGAATGTATCGACAGGCGAACATCTACTCCATAAAACTTTTAAAATGAACTGTCACTCTGAAAAGCGAAATCTCATTCCTAAAGATTAAAAGTCGAGCCACTCTTTTTCAACTGATTTAATTTTCATTCTTTAGCATGAGATTCTACTCCAAAAAATTTGGAAAGTAAACATTATCAAACTCAGAGCCGATCTATAGTAAGTCGCTAATAAGAATCAGCATTATTTATAAAACGTTGTTCATCGCTCAAGAATAATTTTAATAGAATTTTAGACTCTTATAATAATATAATATTCAACAAAATATTCAATAAAATGAAATTTGAAAAGTTACAAATATAGCAGTAATTTCTTTTTGATGTTTTTCTACTGACGAAAATTCATTTAAAACACTCAAGAATAATTTATTTTAATAACATTTTTACACCTAACGCTGATAATGTATTCAATAAAGTATTGAATAAAACGAAATTCGAAAAGATGCAAATACAGTAATAATTCCCTTCGTTTTCTTATCAAGAAAAAAATAATGCTGTGGATCTGGCTCTCTCCAATTCTGTTAACGAAATAATTCTATAAATACCCAGACAGCACACAATACTCATAAAATTTATAAGATTTATTTTAAATATTTCGTAAACATTTTTGTGGTTTTAGATTGCACGGATTATAAACATTTATTATAAATATTATGAAATATTTACTGTAAATGCTAAGAAAATACTTAATGAGACATTATAATCCAAGTAAAAAGTACTTATTAAAAATATTGATTTATATTTATCATAAATATCACATAAAATATTTAATCTATATTTTAACAATATTTTGAATAAAGCTTCATAAAAAATATGTATGAAATTTTATGTAACATTTTAAAAATGAATATTAATAATATTTATCATAAATATTTTGTGCTGTCGAGTAATAATCGAAATATAATCAAGAAAATTTCATTTGAATTAACGAAATTAAATTAAATAACGAACACGAGCGCGCATAGTTTTGAGATATTACTAATACATGTTTCGGGAATTAATTGGAACAAATTTAATTTACGTTTAATTCAATCGAATCTTGCGGACTAATTGTTCGTGTCACTTACTGATCGCATTACAAGGCGTAAAGTGCTTGATTTGTAAGATAAATGGCACGCATAGACGCACAACACTCTTTACTTTCACATGAAAGATCATCATCTCACAAGCGACGCGAAGATGAGAGTTATTAATTGGAAATAGTAGTCGACGCGAAAATCGATACGGCACAACGTTCCTACGTACTTACACTGGTAAAATGACGATGTTAATCTGGCCTATAATCTAATAGTTAAAGGTAGTGCATTAGTAATTAATTGATTAATTAATAGACGATTAATTAGTAAATTCGGTACATTCACAGTGTGATACAGCATAGGTTGAAATGGTTGTACATCATTGCGATACGCTCTTTATTTGTGATGTGGCAACATATAGAATTAAGAGTAGCTTCAGTTTTCAAAGATTTAATATTTAACAGTTGACATTTGACATTACTCGTAAAATTATGTATGATCAACAAAGAGAATGAAATATCGTGAAATTCGTTTTTATTTTCGTAACTATCTAATTATTCTGTCTCGAGCGTTACACGATTATATTTTCAGTGCTCCAATATGTCGGGATATTAAAGTGCTCAAAGAAAAATTATTTATATTATCAAAATTATCTTGTAACAAAATTATCTTATAATATGAAATTTTTGTTTCGCTAACGAAATATTAGCTGTTAATAAATGCTGTAATATAATATATGTTTAATTGTTAATTAAAGTTCCTTTAAAGTTTCCGCTTTTGTCGAACAAAGAGAGCAAAACTAATTGCTTTAACGCGCATAAAATCCATATTTAACAAGATGTATATACTTTCACGCAGGAACCACTCAGAGCGCTCGAGGGGATCAATTTGGTCTTTTAAATGCTGTTTATATACAGCAAAAATGAAATGAAAATTATTAAATCATTAACGATGTTAACGAGATCATTTTTCGGTGGGTGTTGCTCTTACTCTTTTCTTTTTTTCCTTTTTTCTTTTACATTTTCCGTAGACGCGCTGAGTTCTCTAGACGACGGGATGATCGAATGAGAAACTTAAGGGTAACTCGAATCGTTTATCGCTTGCGAATAGAGAGCAGAGTGTGATGCCTGGTTCTAACGTCGTTTTCCAAAGCGCAAGAAAACATGATCGACGTCTTGTCTCTTGACAGCGCTGTCGTACCGCGGTAAGTTCTCCCGGTAATCTGAAACAATTCAAACACAAACCGTGCATAATTATCCCCATCGCCGTAATCAGTCCTTCGGTTTCGAGAACGCAGTATATGAGATAGCGTCGAAGGGGTAACCACGAGCTGAAATGTCCCACATGATTACATGATTTCGTTTGATGTTACACGATTTCATCTGATTGTAAATGATTTCATTTAATTGCAAATAATTTGCTTCATTACATATGAAGTCACTTAGTAAAATAAACGATTTCATCCGATTACATAATGATTTCTCATGATTGTATAATTATCGGATTTCTAGTAATTGCAAATTTTTTATTTGATTAAAAACATTACGACGTAGCCACTTAATGTAATTGTGGGGCAAAATGTCTCCGAAATCATGAAATTCTTAGAAAATCTCTATATGTAATCTCTCATTTTACAATCAGATGTAATCATAAATTTGAAATCATATAAATCATTGCGATATATGAAATCATGTGATAACCACGAAATCTGATTAAATTAGTGTAAATAATTCTAAGGTAGCAGAATGTAAACAACTGTTCTTCATTGAACATTAATCAAGGAAAAATCATGTTCTATGCATTTGATGCGCAAATTCGGAATGCATTCCTAGAATCCTATAGGGTAAACTAAGGTATTATGGCCATACGGAAAAGATGGCCATAGGCCATAATTTCTCCAATAATTGATAAATAGTGTATTTTTATAGTCATTTTTAAAGATAATCAATATTTACAGTAGTTCATATGAGTACACTGTTAAAAATAACAATATTATAAATATTATCTAATATTTTTTCTTTCGACTATCTGCAAAGTTTTGCACGTGTCTGCTAAAAACTGTTATAATGTCTAATAAATTACAGTTAAGCTGCCATAATCAACATACACAATAAAAGTACGTAAATTGCAAAGTGACCTATAATTAATACTTTTATTTTCATTATTTATTTATAAATACTATGGCTATCTTTCTTAATATCATGGTCATCTTTTCCCTAAAAATCAGATAAGATGGCCAATGCATACTTTGTAATATTTTGATAAAATTAAAGTTCTGTTAAATATTTTCTCTTTAATTTCGATAATATTTGTTACTTTAAGCTTTAGTGAAAGTAAATTGTTAAAAAGTAACAAGAATAAATGTATATTTTTTGCATTTTAAAAAACTATGGCCATTATATCCGAGTTTACCCTACATAAAAAGAAATGCGACTGAACATGCGTCATGTGTGTAAAAAAAGGCTGCATATTATTTACGTTCTGCTTAGAGATCCTGAAATAAGAAATTGAACGCCGCTTAGACAATTTCTAATTAATATTCGTCATATTTTTCAGAACTCGTTTAAGATAAAATGAGATACGTGAATATCTCATTCTATCTTAAGTAGGTCTTGAAAAATATAGCAAACTAAACATACCTTCAATTTCTTGAGGATCTCTAGTTTTGTTAGCTTATTATTAGAATTATTTATACACTAATTTCAGATTTAAATTTTATAATAATCACACACGGTTTCATTATAGACTTTATGGTGATTACACATGATTTCCAGTAACTGCACGAAAATTCAAAATAATTTTTACTGATTACATATGACTTCATTATAATTCCTGATTATTCTACGTGAAAGATTTTTGACTTCATGATTACATCTGACTGTAAAATGACTACATGGAGATTTTGTAATGATTACATTACCATCTTGGGTGTTCAAGCATAGAATTTAAAATTAATTATATACACTGGCAAAATTTTTGAGCGGCGATAAATTAATTAGGCGGTATAATAATAAGAAGAATAGGAAGTGGCACATATTGTTCGTATGCAATGACATTTGCCTTTCATTCGTTGATAATTATTTAGAATACAAGGCCTCACCTCCGATTTTGATTAAATTGGGCTCATTCGACGCGTTTTTACTCACAATGAAAGAATCTGGAAAAAAAATGCGACGGTCGGCCTCGTGAACCAAGATATCAAGCGTTAAACTTCGAAATTTTAGAGATAAGATACCTGTCATTCTAACTAAATGGTCGCGTTCATTAAACTCAACTCGACTCAACTGTGCAGAGTGGATCTGTAAGCGTTCGCTACTATTGGTTAGTGATTTAGATAGGTCTAGAAGAATACACCAATAACAACGAGCGCGTACAGATCCGTTCCGCAAAAGTTGAATCTACTGAACGCGACCTATGTTTTGAAAATGAACATGCACTGAGAAAAAAAAGTTGTTAACTTGACTAAATGCGTTTAGTTCGTAATGATTATTTAGTTCGAATATTTATATATTTAGATCAACAAAATCTTGTAATTTAAAATATGTTATTTGTTTAAATTAACAAATATTTAGTTGAGTTAACAAATATTTGCTCGACAGTCCGTGACCGCTACATTTAGTTGAATCAACTAATATTTTTTTGAAACAGCAACTTTTTTTTCTCAGTGTGCGCTGTGGTCAAGCGCGTATTCCGTAAGCAGATAAAATACTACTCTGCAGATTGCAATTTGATCATAATTGTAAAATACCGTATTCAATAGAGCAACTAAACAAAAATCCTTGGCTTGCTGTCTAAGATATAGTTGGAGATGCAAAATTGTGGCCGAAATTTATACGAAAATTATTCTGGGATCGTAATTTAATTGACCACAAACGAATGATTCTTGTCAATTTTGCATATTTAAATGCAATATCGGAAGACTTTTTACATGCTATCTTAGCTTTTACGTTAAAGAAAGCATGTACAAGAAATCTAAAATATGAAATTCATTGCCGGTTTAATTATTTAAATCATGAGGTAATATCATTTTACCTTTAATTAATGGATTGAATAATATTATGTAGCATTTGTAACAATTTTCAAAATTTATAGGGATTTGGACGACAACGACGAAGTCGTGTATATAGCTGTGTATATAGTTACAGCGTTTATTTCCACGAAATGTTGGATTTAAATTTTAATCCATATAAAAAAAATTAAAAAGGTATACATTTTAAATAACCTATCTATTCTCTGCTTTAAAAATTTATGCAATATTATGCATATATTTACTGCTTTAAAAACACAAAATCACTGCTTTAAACACACCAAAGCACTGCTTTATAAACATAAATTCACTGCTTTAAAAACAAAAATTCACTACTTTAAAAATACAAGATTACTGCTTTAAAAATACAAGGTTACTGCTTTAAAAACAAAAATTCACTGCTTTAAAAATACAAGGTTACTGCTATAAAAATACAAATTCACTGCTTTAAAAACACAAAATTACTGCTTTAAAAACATAAAAGCATTGTTCTAAAAACACAAATTCGCTGCTTTAAAAACACAAAAGCACTGCTTTAAAAACACAAATTCACTGCTAATGCAAAGAATTTTTAAAGTAGTGAATTTTTGTTTTTAAAGCAGTGCTTTTGTGTTTTTAAAGCAGCGAATTTGTGTTTTTAGAACAATGCTTTTATGTTTTTAAAGCAGTAATTTTGTGTTTTTAAAGCAGTGAATTTGTATTTTTATAGCAGTAATCTTGTATTTTTAAAGCAGTGAATTTTTATTTTTAAAACTGTGCTCTCATTTTTAAATCCAAATTCTGAATTAGAATACACTAGTGCAAAAACTTATTGCACTATTTCAAAACTAGTTCAGAATTCTTCGAAAAAAGACAGACCTTACGTATGCATAGCGCTGCAGCGGCTCAGAATGACAGGTATCTTAACCTTTAAAATTTTGAACTTTAACGCTTGATATCTCGGTTCACGAGGCCGACCATCGCATTTTTTCCCAGATTCTTTCATTAGCTTAGTTTCCACTGAGGATTTAAACCGGATCAGAATATAAGAACCAACCAACTACAGTCGAGTATTCCCCTGTTACAGTCGAACGACAGGGGAATGCTCGACTGTAGTTGGTTGGTTCTTACATTCTGATCCGGTTTAAACCCTCGGTGGAAACTATGTCGAATGATCCCAATTTAATCAAAATCGGAGGTGAGGCCCCGTATTCTAAATAATTACCCATTCGTTAAATATATTAAAGTTATTTGTTTTTAACGGGACGTGGCGATAGAGCGAATGATTCGGTAAGGGTGGGATTTTATTTGTGCGTTTTTGTCGTACGACAAATTTTTCAAGCCCGTTGATTGGCTATAGGATAGAAAGATCTGAGGATCTTTCTGTCCTGCATGTAATTGTCGTACGACAAAAACGCACAAATGAAATCCCACTCTTAGACAGGCGATTACCTTTGTCGTCAATAAAGTCATTTATGTCCTTAACGTCCCATATTCTGGCGAAGGCCATGCAGATTTTACGGAGTCTAGGTGGAAGCTCGTCAAGAAGTCCGGGGTTGCATGAAATACCGGGCGACCCGGTGAGAGCTTCGCCGGAGAGGACTGCCATAGTCGTCACGGATACAAAGATCATTAGCGTCGAGCTCATCATTTTTGGGCTGTAAGGAAGAATAGAGTAAAGATGCCTAATATGAAATACCTTCTTCTAAAGGCTTGTAATTTATTTAACTTTTAACCTTAACTGCTATTTTTATGTCAAAGTTATAGGAAATATAATCAAGTTTTATCGCTAAAAGTTAGCAATCGATAATAGCTATATTTTGTTTCTATGTAAAGATTTTTATCAAAATTGCCAATTTTATTAATTCAAAAAATGTTTCTAATGTGAGACACAAAGGTTTCTTTATATAAGATGATTTTATAATAGGAAACCAAGGAAAAAAATAATTAAAAGCTTTCAATCTTAATTATACCTAATAATTGCATAATTTTTCGATGACTATATTTTAAAAACACAATAATCCTAAGACTAGAAATCAATTACAATTAATATATCAAACTTATATACTTATTATAAAATAGAACAATTAGAAAAAAATAAATAAAATTTAAATTTCTTAATTTTTAGAAATTAAGTACCTTATATTTTAAGCCTTACAGTTTCAGAATTATCAAACCTAATTTTTACAATTAAGCAAATTATCATATCCCATATTTTCCTATTAATTGTTGCTCTTTCGTTACATGCAGAATTTATTTATTATATAATAAACAGCTATTAAGGATTCATCTCGATAAAACTTCTAATTTCACAACATCTAAATTTACAGATATTATATTATGGACAACATTTAATTTCACAAATCTTTTTTCACAACAACTATATGCATAATCTAATAATGAATTTTCTATTAAATAGATTTTACCCTAAGAGTAATAAGTTCATGATGGAACCGACCACATGCGCGTATTAGTTTAACTTCAAACCCCGCTATCTCATATTAGGAGCTTATCTCATAACAGATGACTTTACTTTATAATGTCGTTCACGCCGATTTCTGGCATCCTTCAGCTTTGCAAATAGCAATGAGATCAAAGAGAATTAGTTGAAACAGTAAATATTTAACTGTTGCAACAAATTAATTGCTTTATCGCCAAAAGTTTCTTAAAAAAGAACTATTTTATTCACTGAAATAACTTTTTTTCCTTACGAAAAAATACACTCTTGGCGATCCGAAGTGACACTCAAATCGAGAATTTATTCTCAAGTTGGAGGTTTATTTGGGAGTTAATACTCAATTTAAGTGTTATTTCGGACCGCCAAGTGTGTATTTTTTCATAAGGATTAGACTTCCAAATTGCTTTGCTTCAACAACAAATTTATTCTGTCTTCTTCTTCCATTTTCTAATATTTATTTTTTTATTTTTATGACAACAATCTATCAACGATAATTACATGTAATAATAAAATTGCATTTTCTGATGATAGATTGTTTGCTTTAACATATGTTTGAGTTAATATATTTCTACGGGCAAAACTCAGAAAAATTATTCTACTTTGCTGATTTAAGAAAATAAATTTTATTGTAACATGGAACAATTGTTATCGCAGCGAAATTGATTTGCTCCCTCGTCAAATATACAGTAATCTGGTAGAAATATAGATAACATTTAAATATATGTAATGAGTTTGCAGAATCTAGAAACATAAAATTCCAAGTGCAAGAGACTTCTGTAAATGGAGCAGACGTGACAGACATTTAGATCATGACAGACATTTGAATCACAAGTCACTTCCTGGGATCCCTGCTCTATTTTCTGCTTTACAATTGTATTGCACCATGAAGCGAGTTTCCGCATATATTGACCCACGGGTGTTGCGCGGGGCCCGACTTGCTAGGCATACGATTTCCTTGATACGATAGCGGAGACCTGTTGAGAATTGGACGTCATGTTTACATGTCGACGTTCACGCAATTCGGAAGGAAAATGTCGTAATAGTACTCGGCAACTCGCTTGACATATCTTACCACATAACGTGAGACCGCAATACTAAGAGCGATTAGCCTTAAACTTTAGATGTAGCCGTGACTGTGAAATACTGTCAACTAATAACATCACAGTATAATCGACATCCGTGTATATCAGTAAAAAATTAAATAGAACGTATAAAACGTGTGTAAAATCATATACGTGAAGCAGTCCATAAAACTTATTATTTTCCTTAACTCAAGGTTTGTATAGCCAAACTTTTAAACTATAACATCATTTCTAATTTAAATCAATGTAACATTCAATTTAATTTTTTCCATTCTAATCTCATCTTTAACAATGTTATTGCGTTGCCTCTAATTTAAAAATGTACGAAAATTGTTTTAAAAAACTTAAAATACGTGAGAGAAGCTATTATTTAAAAAAATTAAAATATTTATATAAATTAGAATAGAATTATAATTCCAATTGGTATCGTTTAAAAACTTTTTTAATTGAGAGAGAGAGAGAGAGAGACATATTCGCGGATCCAGTGGACTACCACGGACATGTTTTCAATGAAATTTTGAAGAATTGTTTAACACAAATGTTTTTCACAATCTTATATAATTTTAAGTTACATGATATCATTCCTTGAATTTTGATCGAGTAATTTTGACCACTAGCTGAAATATTGTCCCATAGATTACATGATTTTATTTGATTTCATACGATTTCATCTGGTGACAAATAATTTTCTTCACTATGTATAAAGTCATTTGGTAACATAATAGATTTTATCTAATATCACACAATTTCAAGCAGAAGAAGTCACGATAATGTCAAAATGACACTAAAATGAATCGGAAATGATTGAAAAACGATTTTTAATGATCATTTTGAAGTCATTTTGACATAATTTTGATATCATAATGATGTGGTTTTGCTTGGGTTTATTTCTCATAGTTGCATATGTAATTATCGGATTATACATTGGGACGTCATACAAATTTTATAAAGTTTTCGGAGACTCTGTCCCACGATTACATTATACCCCCTTAATTTTGACCTTCAAAATTAAAATACGTTGTTTAATTTTACATTAATTTTACATTTAATTTTAAAAATGTATGAATTGATTTAAAAACAATAGTATATTGATTTAAAATCAATGAGTACGGCGCAATAATCAGAGCGCCTTTGCAAAAACAGTTTTACAAAATCAAATGATTAAAAAATTAATAATTACTATCACATTAGAGGGCTACGAGCCAAAATTAAAATATAACGTTGGTAATGGTAATGAATATAAATATATCAACGCAAGTTTAGCATATAATTAGTCGCCACAAGTAACAACAGAGTAATAAAAGAAAAATGTAAAAATATATATGATATCATACGTTTCAACCTCGATCGGGTCATTCTCAATGTTATAATACAAGAATAATTCGTTGAGTCGAAGAAAACAAAGAATTTGATCGCATGTTAATATATCCGGATCACACTGTAGTATTCCATAAAAATGAATATTCGTCAGATCATGAGAAATTCAAATATCGAAATTCCATTTGTTGTAACCACATATATTGTTTCTTCATATTGATGGTCCCTTTCACAAATTACAATAAAAATTTTTTGAAACAATTATAAGCGAAAACGACCGGAATTAAATTTGTTGTTAACACGTCAATGCCTTCAATCGTTAATTATTCTTGTATTATAACATTGAGAATGACCCGATCGAGGTTGAAACGTATGATATCATATATATTTTTACATTTTTCTTTTATTACTCTGTCTTTACTTGTTGCGACTAATTATATGCTAAACTTGCGTTGATATATTTATATTCTTATTACCATTACCAATTTTATATTTTAATTTTAGCTCGTAGCCCTCTAATGTGATAGTAATTTATAATTTATTGAGCCTTATCACTCTTATTATTTAAAAAATTAATGTTTATGAAAAATAATATCTGACTCACACACTTTAAAGTCTTCGTCAACAGTAAATAATCTTCAAATCACTCACACGGCACTTACCAGACAGCACAGAATATTTATGATAAATATTTATTAAAATAATAAATAACAATAAGATTATAAGGCTAATAGAGTCAGCGCGGAATATTTATTACTATTAATTTTTTTGAAATGTTATATAAGTTAATATTTTATATATATCTTATACAAAGGTTTAGTGATTGAAATATTATTACAACATAGACTAAATGTTTTAATATTTATAATATAAAGTAAATATAAGTAAATATTTGTAGTAAGTCAATAAAACTAAAAATATAACGCTCACTTGTAGCTAAACAATATAAATGTGATACTAGGGTATATGAGCAATAACCAGATTACAGTTGCTAAAACATAATATTTCAAATAACATCAAATAAAATAGTTGCTCCTGTAAACAGTTACTTCTGGATTGCAAGATTTAAAGTGGGATTTTTAAACATTATTTGGTTGGATATTGAGAGAAAGTATCTTCTGAGATGGATGTGTAAATTGCAACCACTTAACATTACAAATATGAAATTTACTAAAAATGACTCGCCACAGAGAATGAGGAACGTGTTAACAATGGTACAAGAATATAGTTTCACACACACACACACACACACACATCACACACACACACACACACACACACACACACACACACACACACACACACAGCAGACAACTGAAACATTTATGTATTTAAAGTACATACACTCGCGAACACCAGTTAAGGAAATTTCGAAGTGAATATACTTTAAATTCTTTGGAGTGGAATCTCAATCTAAAGAATGAAAATTGAGTCTTAGAAAAGAATAGTTCAATTTTCAATCTTTAAAAGTGAGATTTTACTTTACAAAGTGAGATTCACTCTAGATATAGGGCTGAACTTGTATTTCAAATACTTTTATATTTAAAACACAAGTATTTGCAATATAAGTGTATTTTGTATTTAAAATCGAAAGATTGCAAGTTTTTTATATTTTGTAATTCAAATAATAAGATTTATTGTCAATTTTATAGTATTTGAAATACAAAATACAAAATACTTTCAGTTTTTCGTTATTAATACTGAAGTACAAAATATAAAATATTTCCATGTGCTCTCTTTCTCATGAAATACAAGATATTTTTATGTGCCCCGCAGAAATACAAAATACAAAATACAATAA